TGCTCATGTTGCCGGAAGCGTTAGCACCGACCTCAATGTTTGAGAGAGAATGGCAAATCCATGTGTCTCACAGGCAGTTTGCCATTCAGCAACTACTGCGTCAGTAGTCTGGCTGCTGGCTTTAGATTTCATCTTTACTCTATGTGTATCCCCTTGCCCCGGAATTTTAATATTGGATGTTGTGCAAACGAGAAGCCTCTTAGATGGATCGCACACCGGCGCGTTCGATTTTTCACGTTTATGTTTGTATCAACATTGGTCTTGGGGGCAGGGGGGGAGCTCATTGAATCTAATTCAAGCTTTGGAAAGTATTGTGATCCTGGAGACTCATGAGTATACCTCCTCAGTAGTACTCAGTAGTTACTTTTTCCTCTTGTTTCCTCCTGCTACTGCTGCTGCTCCTGCGACTCCTTCTATTCAAAAGGCACCTCCCGGATGGGAAAACACCATGGCAGCGAAGGACGGAAATGTTTCCTCCTGCTGCTGCTGCTGCTCCTGCTCCTGCGACTCCTTCTGTTCAAAAGGCTCCTGCTGCTGCTGCTGCTCCTGCTCCTGCGATTCCTTCTGTTCAAAAGGCAAGTCCCGGATGGGAAAACATCATGGCAGCGAAGGACGAAAAAGCATCAAAATTGCGCCCGAACACTCCCTAACGACTTCTGAAACCCACAGAAAGATGATTTTAGCTACAAACTCCTTAATTTAACTTCTGAAACACATAGAACAGGATGCTTTTAACTACTTTTTCCTCCTGTTTCCTCCTGCTGCTGTTGCTGCTCCTGCGATTCCTTCTGTTCAAAAGGCACCTCCCTGATGGGAAAACACCATGGCAGCGAAGGACGGAAAAGCATCAAAATTGCGTCCAAAAACTCCCTAATGTAACTTCTGAAACTTTTAAAAAACGATGATTTTAGCTACTTTTTCCTAACTTCTGAAACCCAGAGAAAAGGATGATTTTATCTACTTTTTCCTTCTGTTTCCTCCTGCTGCTGCTGCTGCTCGTGCCCTGCGATTCCTTCTGTTCAAAAGGCACCTCCCGGATGGGAAAGCACCATGGCAGCGAAGGACGGAAAAGCATCAGAATTGCGCCCAAAAACTCCCTAATGTAATCTCTGAAACCTATAGAAAAGGATGCTTTTAACTACTTTTTCCTCCTGTTTCCTCCTGCTGCTGTTGCTGCTCCTGCTCCTGCGATTCCTTCTGTTCAAAAGGCACCTCCCGGATGGGAAAACACCATGGCAGCGAAGGACGGAAAAGCATCAGATGCTGCTGCTCCTGCTCCTGCGATTCCTTCTGTTCAAAAGGCAAGTCCCGGATGGGAAAACATCATGGCAGCGAAGGACGAAAAAGCATCAAAATTGCGCCCGAACACTCCCTAACGACTTCTGAAACCCACAGAAAGATGATTTTAGCTACAAACTCCTTAATTTAACTTCTGAAACACATAGAACAGGATGCTTTTAACTACTTTTTCCTCCTGTTTCCTCCTGCTGCTGTTGCTGCTCCTGCGATTCCTTCTGTTCAAAAGGCACCTCCCTGATGGGAAAACACCATGGCAGCGAAGGACGGAAAAGCATCAAAATTGCGTCCAAAAACTCCCTAATGTAACTTCTGAAACTTTTAAAAAACGATGATTTTAGCTACTTTTTCCTAACTTCTGAAACCCAGAGAAAAGGATGATTTTATCTACTTTTTCCTTCTGTTTCCTCCTGCTGCTGCTGCTGCTCGTGCCCTGCGATTCCTTCTGTTCAAAAGGCACCTCCCGGATGGGAAAGCACCATGGCAGCGAAGGACGGAAAAGCATCAGAATTGCGCCCAAAAACTCCCTAATGTAATCTCTGAAACCTATAGAAAAGGATGCTTTTAACTACTTTTTCCTCCTGTTTCCTCCTGCTGCTGTTGCTGCTCCTGCTCCTGCGATTCCTTCTGTTCAAAAGGCACCTCCCGGATGGGAAAACACCATGGCAGCGAAGGACGGAAAAGCATCAGAATTGCGCCCAAAAACTCCCTAATGTAACTTCTGAAACCTACAGAAAAGCAAGATTTTAGTTACTTTTTCTTCTTGTTTCCTCCTGCTGCTGCTGCTGCTCCTGCTCCTGCGACTCCTTCTGCTCAAAAGGCTCCTGCTGCTGCTGCTGCTCCTGCTCCTGCGATTCCTTCTGTTCAAAAGGGACCTCCCGGATGGGAAAACACCATGGCAGCGAAGGACGGAAAAGCATCAGAATTGTGCCCAAAAACTCCCTAATGTAACTTCTGAAACCCATAGAAAAAGATGTTTAGCTACAAACTCCTTAATGTAACTTTTGAAACCCATAGAAAAGGATGCTTTTAACTACTTTTTCCTCCTGTTTCCTCCTGCTGCTGTTGCTGCTCCTGCTCCTGCGATTCCTTCTGTTCAAAAGGCACCTCCCGGATGGGAAAACACCATGGCAGCGAAGGACGGAAAAGCATCAGAATTACGCCCAAACACTTCCTAATGTAACTTCGGAAACCCACAGAAAACGCAGATTTTAGCTATTTTTTCTTCTTTTTCCTCCTGCTGCTGCTGCTCCTCCTGATCCTGCGACTCCTTCTGTTCAAAAGGCATCTCCCGGATGGGAAAACACCATGGCAGCGAAGGACGGAAAAGCATCAGAATTGCGCCCAAGAACTCCCTAATGTAACTTCTGAAACCAACAGAAAAGGAAGAGTTTAGTTACTTTTTCCTCTTGTTTCCTCCTGCTACTGCTGCTGCTCCTGCTCTGCAACTCCTTCTTCTGTTCAAAAGGTACCTCCCGGATGGGAAAACACCATGGCAGCGAAGGACGGAAAAGCAGCAGAATTGCGCCCAAAAACTCCCTAATGTAACTTCTGAAACCCACAGAAAACGATGATTTTAGCTACTTTTTCCTAACTTCTGAAACCCAGCGAAAAGGATGATTTTAGCTATTTTTTCTCCTGTTTCCTCCTGCTGCTGCTGCTGCAAAAGGAACCTCCCGGATGGGAAAACACCATGGCAGCAAAGGACGGAAAAGCAGCAAAACTGCGCCCAAAAACTCCCTAATGCAACTTCTGAAACCCATAGGAAAAGATGATTTTAGCTACAAACTCCTTAATGTAACTTTTGAAACCCATAGAAAAGGATGCTTTTAACTACTTTTTCCTAATGTTTCCTTCTGCTGCTGTTGCTGCTCCTGCTCCTGCGATTCCTTCTGTTCAAAAGACACCTCCCGGATGGGAAAACACCATGGCAGCGAAGGACGGAAAAGCATCAGAATTACGCCCAAAAAATCCCTAATGTAACTTCTGAAACCCACAGAAAATGATGCTTTTAGCTACTTTTTCCTTCTGTTTCCGCCTGCTGCTGCTGCCGCTGCTGCTGCTGCTGCTGAAACTACTTTTTCCTCCGGTTTCCTTCTGCTGCTGCTGCTCCTGCTCCTGCCACTCCTTCTATTCAAAGGCACCTCCCGGATGGGAAAACACGATGGCAGCGAAGGACGGAAAAACATCAGAATTGCGCCCAAAAACTCCCCAATGTAACCTCTGAAACCCACAGAAAAGGAAGAGTTTAGTTACTTTTTCCTCTTGTTTCCTCCTGCTACTGCTGCTGCTCCTGCTCCTGCAACTCCTTTTTCTGTTCAAAAGGCACCTCCCGGATGGGAAAACACCATGGCAGCGAAGGACGGAAAAACATCAGAATTGCGCCCAAAAGCCCCTAATGTAACTTCTGAAACCCACAGAAAAGGAGGATTGTAATTACTTTTTCCTTTTGTTTCCTCCTGCTGCTGCTGCTGCTGCTGCTCCTGCTCCTGCGACTCCTTCTGTTCAAAAGGCACCTCCCGGATGGGAAAACACCATGGCAGCGAAGACGGAAAAGCATCAGAATTGCGCCCAAAAACTCCCTAATGTAATTTCTGAAACGATGCTTTTAGCTACTTTTTCCTCTGTTGCTGCTGCTGCAGCTGCTCCTGCTCCTGCGACTCCTTCTGTTCAAAAGGCTCGTGCTGCTGCTGCTGGTGCTGCTGCTGCTGCTCCTGCTCCTGCGACTCTTTCTGTTCAAAAGGCACCTCCCGGATGGGAAAACACCATGGCAGCGAAGGGCGAAAAAACATCAAAATTGCGCCCGAACACTCCCTAATGTAACTTCTGAAACCCACCAAAAAAGATGATTTTAAACTACAAACTCCTTAATGTAACTTCTGACACCCACAGAAAAGGATGATTTTAGCTACTTTTTCCTTATGTTTCCACCTAATTTCGAGCCGAAACTGTATGCAAAACTCACCAGAAAAACTCCCTAACGTGTCGTCTGAATCTTTAGAAATACATTTTTCCACGCTGCATCGTGGGGTGCACCTCTTGAGAAACGTGATTGAAACCGTTTGAGAGGCTTGCTTAGCCACACGTACAAAAGCAATGCTGACGGACACCACTCGAAACGCGAAAACACCAACTAATTTCGAACTAAAACTGTATTCAAAGCTCACCAGACAAACTCCCTAACGTGTCGTCTGAATCCCTAGCCTTCGCTACTGGCTATGTGCAGTTCTAGAATAGAAGTGGTAGTAGTCCGAAACATGGCTATGTGCAGTTCTACCCTATAGAATAGAAGTGGTAGTAGTCCGAAACAAGGGTCAAAAGTATTATTCCCTGGCGCGCTCCCCCTTGCGTCTGCCGGGGTCGGCGGATATGTGTTTTCTGATTTGAAGATTTGCAAGCAACAGCATGCGGCCGACATGCTGTTACAGAACCTGTGGCAAAGGTGCAACTTTTGTGCACGTTTTTTTTTCATTATTATGCTAGCCTTTGGCTTGCATTTGGCCAATTGCAAATGACAATCCTTATACGATGTGAATTGCACAACCCAAACAGGTTCAGGCAGTCCAGCCCAACTTTTGTGTGCCGTTCATTTTCATCTTGACGGGGGTTCATGAAGAAATGCTGGTACCAACTATCCGAAGGTTCATGGTAGAGTCAGCGAGTCTCGATTTTTTGATATAGAATGTATACAGAAACTGTTGAAACGATGTTGAAACCAAGTCTTGACGCCATGAGAGCGTTTCGATGCGGCCAGCTGCCCGCCTTGTGCTTGAGTGGCACGGCTCGATTTTCAACGGCGCCCTTGCCGAAAAAAATTGCAGTTGTTGGCTGCGGTCAGACTGGGCCTCAATTTTGCAATCTGTACATTTTGCGACCAGTTTTGGTGCTGTCTTTGTTGAATCTTTGCTCCAGGGCTTGGTAACTGAGGATGGGCACTGGAATCACCATAGTGGCTGTCCCTCAATTGCAATGGCCAGGACTCGGATGATTTTTAAGATTTTTTAAGTGTTTATTTTCTTCGGGGGATCTTCAAAGTGCCAAGGCAAAACATGCTGGAGCTGAAGTTGTTGGACTAGATGCATATCCCGCAAGTCTCGAGCGCAGCAAAGCATTTGCCGCAGAATGGGCAGGCAAAGAGGCCATGGGTTTGGACGTCCCTGCGAGACCCCCACTGACTTGCCGTTTTTCGGCAACCATTCCAACCTTGAATCATTGAGGCCCGACATTTTTTTGCCATCCTGGAACTGTTTGTGTTCAGATGTTTTCACCAAAGAAATGATTTGGATCATCTTCCAGGCCAAAAAAGGACGAATGACGGAAGCAGAGGCCTGGCGGTGGGATCCATTTGGTTGATGCTGAGAGCTGTCGCACAGTATTGGCACAGTATGCATGTTTGCACACGTTTAGATACCAATCAAATTCCGGGAGAGGTCATCATGGCATATCATGGCTAGATAACCAGAATTGACAGTCTGCAAAGTCTTTCTGCGGGGTTTGGGGACAGTGCCTCCACACTGTTCAGCAATTTCTTGCTCCTCATTGGGCAACGCTGAACGGTTTATGCCCGGAAACTTTGCACGTGAGAGCATCACTAAGTAAAATTGCCAAAGACCCTGTTCATTGGTGAACATGGTTGACATTTATATGTGTTTCTGGACAGTCTGGACAATCACATTTTTGTTGGACCCCTCTGGGTTTTCGTTCATTTCAGCTTGAAAATGGTTTCGGGCAACCTCTGGGCCAGGTAGACGACTTCCTGCGAAAGATTACCTTCGGCGACCTGAAGGATGAGGGCTATTTGAAAACGATTGCGCCCCAGATGGACTTTGTGATTGAGGCGAAGATGGCATCGCCATTGATGGCCATTTGGAATACTTGGAAAGGTATGAGAGCTTGGCCAGTTCTGCAAATGGGGAGCCAATACCTATGGTACCTTCTTTTTTTGGGGACAAACATCCATGATTCCATTCACCAGCTATTCTCGTGTTCACCAATGTGCCAAGGTTTTGACATGTTTTGACCCCATAGGCAAATCAATACCGAAACAGTTGATAACTTTGACAACTTTGGAGAGGCCGTGAGCGAGGACCTGAAGGTGAAGCAGTCCTGCTATGACGCCCTCCAGGCTGCTGGCCTTCCAGAAGGCTCTGTCTTGGCTACAAACACCTCCTCCATTTCCATCACCAAGTTGGCGGCCAAAGTGTCCAGGCACGCAGATATTGCGGCTGTGGCAAAAAGTCAGGAGGATTTGATATGTCACTACCAATGAAACACGTTTTAGCTGGAGGCCGGAGCGAATGATTGGTTACTTGGGCAGAATTTGAGAGAAGTTGTGTGCACCACGAGATTGTCCTTTTCAATTTGCTTTGATTCCTCGAAGCGCCTGCTTGAATCAAGTCCACCCTAGGCATGCACTTCATGTCGGACCCCTAGCGTCTTTACTTCCCGGCTTTTCCTCTGGCATGGGGATGTGGATGATGTGGTTGAGTTCAACATTTTCACAAGTTTGATCCTGACATTCCCAGAACTTTCTGTGAGGAATCCAGTCCCGGTGATGCCTCTCGTGGAAGTCATTAGAGGTCTGCGCACTGATGATGCGACTTTGGAGCTTACACTACAGCTATGCAGGGCAATGAAGAAGGACCGAAGGGAAAGGCTGATACTCTTAGCAGTTTTCTTCCAAGCCAATTTGATCGCTGCAATTCCTCGGGCAATATGTTCCTCTGGGGGACCTAGACCTAGAATTTCACCCAGAGGCCATGGTAAAGATCTTGGGAAGTCATTTGTCACACTCGGTTTCCTCCATCTCAGGGATCTTGAAAGCAAGATCAAGATAGCCTATACGATGCCATTTTTTTTCGGGGCATCCTGCTAGAGTGCTGCAAATCTTCTACAGTTCTACAAACCTCAAATAAAGACTGCTCAAATCTAAACCAGACTGGGTCGGGCTGTTCTATGATAAAAACACAAGTTTGCTTGTGGGCCAAAAGCCTTCTAATTTTACAGTAAATAATTTGTTGAATTTTGGGTTTGTACTGGGACATCCTCACTATCCTCAAATTGGGTCATTCATGCAAACAGCGCAGATGTGGCATGGATGCCGTGTGCCACACGAAAAGCACACAGACATTGCTGTTTTGAATTGTTTATGGGCCAGCTGCCAGCTCTATCAATCCATGCTGTCTCCAACTCGTATTTATGCAGGAGCATTCCACCAGTGAAGATCGACCTGGTTTCATTGCAAACCGCATCCTGATGCCTTACATCAATGAGGCCCGCTGTTTTGACACGGGTTGTATAGGTTGGTGGTTGGTTAGCCGGATCATTGCAGCAATGGTTCAATGGTTTGGTTCAATGGTTTAGCTTTTTGGCGTGCCAGGCTGTGTTTGCATTGCAAGATGGAGTTGGAACTGCAGAGGACAGGCTTTGCATCCTGGGAAGAAATATCTGAAGAATTCTGGGCCATGAGTGGTTCCATAACGCTACAGAGGCTTGCAAAACTCACATGAAAAAGGATCGGAGTTTGCTGCAATCTGTAGCCTAGTGAGGACATTGACAAGACTTTGAAGTTGGGAACTAACGTTCCCATGGGTCCTTTGACCCTGGCTGTCTCTTGGATTCTGTTCATAGCTTCGTTCATCGGCAAGTCAGACTCAAGCTGGCCATTGACCAATGGAAGGATTCAGACTTGCGAGTCCTTCATTCAAAGCCGTTTTCGTTGCTTCAAGCTTGTTTGATGTTTCAATTGTTCACCAAACACATATTGGGATTATTGGGGATTGATTAAAACCCATTGGATATGATATACATCATTAATCATGTTTATTACATTATTACATTATATTACTTTTATATTACTATTACCAAAGAATAGTGAAGGGGGTTTTGACCCGTGATCATATGTTTTCTATCCTTCTTCGCTCTCAGGACTTCATTGGCCTGGACACCTGCCTGAGTATCATGAGGGTTGCCTTGCTGAATTTTTTCTTCCTCTGAAATGGCTGCAATGGGGACAGGCGGGTTCCAGGTGTCTCTTAGATTTTTGGACATGGAACTGATGTGGAAATGATGTGGAACTGATCTGGAAAACATGTGCAACATGGAAAACGACTCTGAGATCACCAGATCAACGAGGTTCTGCACAGAGATCTGGGCGATTCGAAGTATCGTTTTGAGCTCAGCTGCAGACCCTGCAGACCCAGCTGAAGGTGCACAGCACCCACCACGTCAAGCCGTAGGTCCTGCGCCACTCTTGGTGAACTACGTCGAAGCTGGCTGGCTTGGCAAGAAGACCAAGCGTGGCTTTTACGATTACAGCTGAAGCTGGGACCTTGGAAGTTCCAATTTTTTCGTTGTGGGAAGATCTTAGCACCTTCAGGTCGGTTTGCGACGAGCTGTTCTCTACTGGAAGCCTGGAAAAAAAACATTTGCGGCAACTGGCTGTGGATTTCTGACACGAGACTGCACCTTGGAAACTACTACCAATAATACTAATAACACCCGCAACAATTCGATCTTTTGCATAAATGGAACCCATGCTCTGCAGAAGCACGAGAGATTTGTTATGCAGCTGCAGTCTTTGTGCAGAATGCAATCGCCAGATGATCCATATGCTGCAGCCACCGAAGTTCAAAGTAAACCTCGAAGTGGACGACCAGAGCATAAGCAGATTGGGGCGATTGCCAGTGCCTTGATCTTGGGAATCACTCTCCTTTTCCGCAACAAACAACTAACAAAGGTAGGCCGAGTCTTGCACATGGAGGTTCAACAGATTTCAACAGCAGGTACAGGGTCTCTGTATAGTCCTCAGAGCACCTTTGAAATGCCATGGACTTGGAGCAGGTCTGCCCCTCAGTTCCTCGTTCCTCTCCAGCGAAAGAAGGCGAGCTAAGCGCAGCTTCGAAGCACTGAGGAAGCACCACTTGAAGAGCGAGTGGGGCAGATCGAGGTGGCTGCAGATCCAGCACCCAACACCCACCAATCATCAAACATCATCAAACAACCAACTGTGATGGTGAAATGATTGATTAAACATGATGTGAAACATGACCTGAAACAGGATCTGAAACATGGTCTGGTTGCTAATCATCATTTTTCCAACAGAAGTCCTGACATGTTTTGCAACATCTGTAGGCCTGGGTACCAGCCAAACTGATGTCATAGGTCATAGGTGATACTGTTGTTGTGCATGGGCCCTTTGCTTGTTCACAGTTTATTGCAGCAGACCAACGGGTAAGCAAACTAAGTGTCAGCATGATGTGATGAACTTTGTGAATCAACCGAGCTTTGGATCAAGTGGATCTACATGCACTGTGCAATTCAACATGTTTTCTTGTGACAATGGTCCTCATGACAATGGTCTTATTTTCATGTACAAACATGTTTCTTTGTAAAAATTTCGCAGCGGGGGGTTGTGCTATGGATGACCTCGCGCCTGATGCGCTCACCGGCCAATCATCAGGGTCTCATATGCCAGCGAAATCTCGTGAGGACGACATGGTTTCGGACTTCAACCGCCCTTTTGATGCAGTTTCAGATGGAGTCAATGATGCTTTCGATGTTGTAGATGACCCTGAATATAAAGGCTATAGATTGAGGTGGGCACAAAAACGGAAACTGAACCAAGCAGAGATGCATGCTGATGATGAATTGCCGTCACCTAGCTTGGGACTCAGCGTTGACATGATTCAGCAATGTGCTGGAGAAGAGGACCTGGTGCAGGAGTCAAATCCCCCTGCATGCACAGCGGCAGACAATAGTGCGTCAGTGACCCATTCGTTTCTGACTGGTGTCAAGTTGTCGAACATTGTTTTGCCATGGGAACAACCTTGGTTAGCACCTATCTTTGGAGACCCATTTCCGGCTCCGTCCTTGGCAATGCCTGCAAATTGGGACCCAACTTTCTTCGATCCGTCCCATGATGTGATGCCTGGGATTGAACCAGTTGTGGGGCCGATCCCAACCTTCTCCATTTCCAGATGTGTGAAGCATCGAGTGGACCGTTCATTCCTGGAAGAGCGGGCCTCTCAGACCGATCGTGCTGTGGCCAAGATTAGATGTTTCTTGGAGATCAATGCTGATGCCAGTGAGACAGGTCGTCAGCTTGCAGTCGAACTTAGTGAAGACGGACAACGTACGTTGCTGCTGTCACTGATTGGTACGAGAAGCCCAGGGACAATCATCAAGAGGATGAATGCATTGCTGCACTTTTTCAGATGGTTCTCAGTGAATTTCGATGGTGATTGCCTTCCATTTCAGGAAGCCCATGTCTGGACGTACGTGCGATACCTTCAGGACAGTAGTGCAGCGCCTACTAAGGCTATGTCTTTCATACAATCTCTTCGATTTGCCCATTATGTGCTGGGGGTCCAGGGCGCTGAGCAATGTGTTCAGAGCCGTAGATTGCAAGGCTCTGCAGAGCTTCAGCTGGCTCTGAAGAAGCCTACTCGACAGGCTCGGCCGTTGACTGTCGACGAGGTGCGCCGGCTGCACAAGGCGACCCTGGACAACAGCCTGGATTTACAGGAACGCGTGCTGGCAATCCACCTGCTGCTCATGCTATACACACGCAGCAGGGTCAGTGATTTGGCTCATGTTGAGGAGGTGTCCCACGATGTGAGCCGGACATCTTCAACAGATGGAGTGCCTGGTTTCGTTCAGATCACCACGAGGTACCACAAAGCTGCGCGGTCTGCGGAGAAGAAGAGCTTGTTGCTACCCATCGTGGCGTCATCGACCTCGGTCGTTGAGGACGATTGGTTGGTGACCTGGCTGAGGCTTCGCAAGAAGGCTGGGTTGAAGGTTGCCGGAGAATTCAATGCAGCCATCCAGCCAGCCCCAAATGTGAACAAGGCAAATGAGTGGTTGGTCAGACCATTGAGTTGCAGTGAAGTCACCCTGGTACTTCGTGGACTACTTGGTTGCTCAGACCCTGACTTGACGTCGCATTCCTTAAAGGCCACATGTTTGAGCTGGGCCGCAAAGGCCGAACTTCCTCGAGACCAGAGACGACTGTTGGGCCGGCATGCATCAGCCATCCAGGACTCTGACAGTGTCTATGCAAGAGACCTTGCGTTTGCACCCGCACAGGCCTTGCAGCGGGTCATCATTCTGATTCGGGACGGCCACTTCACCCCGGACCAGAATCGTGCTGGCTACTTCAAGGATGGAAATCCGTTGGTCCCAGGGACACCGGCGCCTCACTTCCAACCGGGTACACCAGCCTTTTTGAACAGAGAGATCCTGGCGGAGCCTGTGCCTGCTGTCCAGGCCGATGGTGGTTGGGAGCAAGTTGGGGTGAAGAGCGATTACCCGGACTTGAGGCAAAGCAAGGAGCTCGAGGAGGACGAACCGGAGCTTGTGCCCAGCTCTGACTCCATTTCATCTTCGTCCAACTGTGAAGATGCAGAGTCGGATGATGAGAAGGGGAACGAAGTGAGTGATTCTGAGAAGCCGCCATCTGTACAGTCTTTCCTTCATGATGCCTTTGTAAAGAACTCCAAAACTGGCATCATCCATCGTATTCCAGACATTGGTCTGGAGGTCTCAGGATCAGTTTATGCAAATGGCGAGTTGGTGCAAGGTAAGACCACAAAGTGTGGCAGATTGGCATCTTCCGGGTACTCTATTGTAGAGGCCATACCGGATTGGACCGCCAAATGTAGAATTTGTTTCAAGGGTTGCCGAGCGCCGTGACTAATTTGCCCTGTCAAAAAGGAGTGTGTGCGTCACCTTGTCGGAGTGTCGGAATGTCCAAATCACTTTTTCACTTGCGATTGTCCGAGTGAGTTACAACATGTGACATGTCCGGTGCATTGCTGTTCTCACATTTGTTGGAATTGACGATGTGTCAGTTAGTGGAATGTCCACTCAGGCAATGTGCCTCCCAATGTGGGTATGCCCATTGTGGGTAGAGAGCAATGTGCTCGATTTGCCAATGTGGCAGCGGCAATGTGCCCATGATGTCAATGGACATCTCATCATCAATGCCGAAAGGTTCATTTGGGACCAAGCTGACCCAGTGTGGGATCACACCATGTGGTGAATCAAGTCGACCCAATGTGGGATCACCCAAAATGTTTTGAGCATGTTATGTACAATTTGTCACTGTTTTAAATTGACAATCTCTCAGGCATTTGAAATTTGTGGACAATGTCACAACATATATCTTTTCAGAACCTCCGAGCGCTCCAATGACGTCAATCCTCGATAGCTCTGCGCACTTTCAGAGGAGATGTGAGGAGATGAAGGTGTCCGACAGGGGAAAAGCCGCTCTTGTCAACGCTGGTTTTGAAACACTGGGTCAGTTGGCATTCGGCGTTGGTCAGCCAGGGATGCCTGTGCCGGAACAAGAATTCCAAAGGTTTGCTACAAACATTTTTGGTGCGATGGCCAACATGCGAGACATCGCGTCATTGAAGCGTTTGCTTTTCGAATCCCAAACCATGACAATGGCTCAGTTGAGGGAGCAGATTTCGAACCCCGAGGCGGCCTTGTCTCGGAAGATTCCTCCGATCGAAAGGGAGGCCAAGATGCGGCAACTGAAAGCCCGGCTCCCGGGTGTGGTCATCGAGAAACAGATGGAGCCGAGTCACAGCCTACTCAACTTGGTGGGGCAAATGTGGGAAAACCGCCAATTGCAATATCTTCCCATTGAAAAACTCACCAGCCGAGAACATGAAGTCCTGTTTTCAAAGACTTCCAAACAGCTGTCCATTGACTCGGACAAACCTCTTGTGAAGGAGGAGGCCAAGGTCCCAGATCAGAGTTCAACGACGGAACTTCAGGTGCTTGAGGCGCTGCGAAGACGTGGAATCGCTCTTGCATTCTGTGACATGATGTCGTGGGAAGCACATGAGCGCTACCTCCAGACGCTCTTTGGACATCTGAGGACGGAAGCTCCTGATGGCTATGTAAAGCCATCATTGCAGCAAGTTCTGAAAGCAGACCGTGACGTTTTCCTTGTCTTGATCCGCAAGGACATCAATGTGCGCCGCCGACCTGATGACATCCTCTCACTTGACACTGAGATCATGGTGGCTTTGCAGTCCTATGAAGTTGGATTCCACCTTATGCCATTGCCCAAGCAGAAGACTCAAGAAGCCAAGACGAACCCTACGTCGTATGGCCCTCAGCCGCGCAACACTGGATGGTATGACAACAAGTCTGCACCATACTCCAAAGGAGGTGGAAAAGGGAAACAGAAGGGCAAGAACAAGAAGATGTCCAACATCCTGCCTCGGGAGCTCCAGAACAAAGGGTGTGTCGGTGTTGATGAGCACAACCGGCGCATGTGCTTCAACTTCAACCTTGGAAAGTGCCAAGAGGTTGCAAATGGAGCCGAGTGCAGCAAGGGGTGGCATCTATGTATGAAGAAGGGTTGCCATGCACCCCATAGCGTGGCTGACCATGACAAG